TATATATATATATAAAGGTATAAAATATACCTTTTTTTACCATTTTATTTTTAATTATACCTGCTCTTTGCTTATCAACATGGTTGAGCCAAAGACCAAGTTGTTATGCAAAAATTGATGTTATGTGAAAATGGAGGATGACCATATCAGATCACAAAACAGATGATTACATCATTACATAACTGCCGAATTATATCATTACATAGCTGCCAAACTGCTGGGAAATTACAGCCCGGCCAAACTGACACAAAACTTTAACCATCACAGCCAGAATTACTCTTTCCTCATGCCTTGCCATTCATTACTGCCAGACATACATCATTAATATGCAAAATAGTGGGATGGTAGATTTGTTACTAATGTCTTAAATGCAAAATGTTAAATAATGAGATAGTCAATAAGTGAGGAGTAGGTGTATTACAGATTCACAGGAAGTTGCAAAGGTAATATAAAGAGGTCCTGTGTCCTTCACTCAGTTTCCTTTGATGGTTATAAGTTACATAATTATAATGCAATTTCAAAACCAGGAATTTGACATTGTTACCCTCTCTCCCAAAGCATCTCTAACCCATGGTGCTATTTTTCATATCTATAATTTGTTACTTTGAGAATGTTACATAAATAGAATCATAAATATGCAGTATTTTGAGTTGGGCTTGTTTACTCAGCATAATGCTCTTGAAATCCACCCAGGTTGTATGTATCAACAGTTCGTTCTTTTGTATTGCTGAGTAATATTCCATGGTATGGATGTACCAGTTTGTTTAACCATTCACCTGTTGAGAAACATTTTGGTTCTTTCCAGTTCTTGGTTATTACAAATAACGCTGCTGGGTACAATCATGTACAGGTTTGGGGTGAACATAAATCTTCATTCCTCTGGGATAAATGCCCATGAGTACAATTGCTGGATGATATGGTAAGGGTGTATTCAGTTTTTTAAGAAACTGCCCATCTGTTTTCCAGAGTAGCTGTGCCATTTTACATTCCACCAGCAATATGTGAGAAATCTAGCTTTCCCATATCCTAACCAGCATTTGGTATTTTCTCTATCTTTTATCTATACACACTAATAGGTATATAATGATATCTCATTGTGTTCTTAGCCGTAATGCCTAGTGATGCTGAACACCTTTTCATGTGCTTATTACCATCCTCAAATTTAATTAGCTTTGTATCTTTAGGCCATGATTAAACATTAACTAGTACAGAGCTTCGATCAGAGCTGCAGCATATACCACTAAGTACCTCCTTCCAGGTCAATACCAGCTCTTTTGTTAATCAGTACTTTCGGAGAGTAGTCATTCAGTTTGTATGAGATACTTTTTAAAAGGCTGTCATACAGCCCATACTTTTCTATCTGTCCATGAAAATATTACGAAAGTCCTTGCTTAACTACTTTTCCCATGGCTTACTCCATCTTTTTTTATTCTTTTATTTTGAATTACCACAGGTTCACAGGAAGCTGCAAAGATAATATAAATATTTTCCTTTGGCCTTTTGTCAAAGTAACTTTTCCTGATCACCACCACACAACCTCTCTTTATACCTTGGTTTATGCTTCATAGTATTTTGCAACCTGTGACATAATATGCATTTAATTTATTGGCCATCCGTACCATTTCAGTTTAAGTTCCATGAAGACAGAAATTTAGTCAGTTTCATTAGTTGCCATGCCCTCAGCACATGCCATATGGAAGCATTCAATATGAATGAATGAACTCCAGATCTACTGCTTTCCAGATAGGCCTGATCATTTCATAGTACCGCTGTTGACTTCTAAGTTATATAGTGTAAAAGTTTAAGTAATATAAATTAAATCTCTTTAAAGCTTTCCCATACCCCTTTGACCATTAAATATTGTTCCTGTTGTTGCATTTGTCTTTGACTTTTTAAAAGCTCAATAACTTTTTAAATATTGAGATAGTTAAAAGAAATTGTATAAGATCTACTGATCACAATTAAACTAAAACTTTAAAACTCAAAAAAAAAAAAAAAACCAGACTCACTGCTATCGAGTCAACTCTGACTCATAGGGACTCCCATCTTGTTTCCAAGTCTATAAATCTTACAGACCGCCTCATCTTTCTTCTGTA